AAAAAAAAAAAAATTTAGAGACTTGTTTAATATCTTGGAATATGATCTATCCTGGTACATTTCATGTGTACCTGAAAAGAATGTGTATTCTGTTCTTGTTGGGGGGAGTGTTCCATAAATATTAATTATATCCAGTTGGTTGACAGTATTGTTCAAGTTTTCCATAACCTACTGATTTTGATTTTCTGTCTACAGTCATGTGCCACAGAACAACATGTCAGTCAACAACAGACTGCATATATGACAGTGGTCCCATAAGATTAGTACCACAGAGCCTAGGTGTGTAGTACGCTATACCACCTAGGTTTGTGTAAGTACACTCTATGATGTTCGCACAATGACAAAGTCGCCTAACAATGCATTTCTCAGAACGTATCCCCATCATTAAGTGACGCATGACTGTACTTGTTTTATCAATTATTGAGAGGTATGTTAAAATCCCTACTTATAATTGTAGATAATGTCTCTTGGCAGTTCTGACAGAACAATTTTGATGGCATGTACTTTGAAGTTCTGTTACTAGGTATATAAATGTTTGGGATTATTTCCTCTTAATGAATTGTCCCCTTTATCATTATGAAACAACTCTCTTTATCCCCAGTAATATTCTTTGCTCTGAAATCTCCTTTGTCTAATATTAATATAACTACTCTAGATGTGTTTAAATTAGTATTCAACATGCATATATTTTCCCATCTTTTTATTTTTAACTTATTTGTGTCTTCATATTTAAAGCAAATTTCTTGTAGGCAGGATACAGTTGGGTCTTGCATTTTTATCCAGTCTAACAATCTCTGCCTTCTAACTAGAGCATTTAGATCCATTTACATTTAATCAAATTACATTTAATGTGATTATTGATTTTGTTGGGATTAAATCTACCATATTGCTGCTTTTTGTTTTCTATATGTACCATCTGGTCTTTGAAGTTGAATGAGTATGTATGTGTGTATGTATGTATGTATGTATTTATTTATGTATGTATGTGAGGAAGATCAGCCCTGAGCTAACATCCACGCCAATCCTCCTCTTTTTTTGCCAAGGAAGACTGGCCCTGAGCTAACATCCGTGCCTATCTTCCTCCAGTTTATGTGGCACACCGCCACAGCATGGCCTGACAAGTGGTGTGTTGGTGCACGCCTGGGATCTGAACCCAGGCCACCAGCAGCGGAGTGCGCACACTTAACCGCTGCGCCACGGGGCCGGCCCCAAAGTTGAATGATAGATGAAATGCTTAGGATATAGGATATATTATTCTTCAACATGTTTTTTATATGATGCTTAAACTGCTTTGTGGTTCAAGGTAAAATAACTGAGAAAGTACCCTATATCATGAGATTGTGTCTCCTCTGAGATGTAATTTTGGTGAAAAACTCACATTATATTTGGGCATTTACAATAAATACAGACGATTCCTAAATTTATATCTCTAGCTGAAATATATCTTCTGAGATCCTGATCTCTATATCCAACTGCCTAATTAACAACTCTACTTGGATGGTCCACAGGCAAGTTTAATGTAAAGTATCCAAATTCACATACCTTCAGCTTCAAACTCACATAGTTTAAGCTAAGAAACTGTGAAACTTCCTTAAGTTTAGGGCTGCTACCTAGCTTATTGGTTCATCAGCCAAATCCAAGTATATGTCTTACCATGTATCACATACATAGGACAACTCAGACCAGAGGACCGAATACAAGATAAAAGAGCAGACAAAAAAATCCTAGGTAAACAATCAAAAGGATCTTTTATTTTAAATGTAGATCGTACCATAATTCATCAAAATAATTTATAATAGTTAACTGCCTCTTAAATATAATCTTATAAATGATGCCTTCTGAAGTTAAAAGTAACGTGGATTCAACCAGTTTGTTTAAAATTATCTATTTAGAACATGATAATAGAAGTAAAAAAAAATTAACTGTCTCCTATGTAGTCTTCTAAGAAAGGAAATCATGACAAGTTCCTGATCAGATAAATGCCATTCCATTATTAAAGGAGATTAAAAAGATGCATAAATAAATTTGACATTATTAGACATTTCAATTTCCTGGGTTTCATCCTTCTGTACAAACCTGACTCTATATAAAGAGTTAAAATTGAATTCTGGTTTCCTACCATAAGCAAGAAATTCCTTAACAGCAGCTCAGAAATGACCTTAATCCCTTGGTGAAACATACTTCTTCACCTCCTAATCGTTACTCGGTGCTCCAATCTTGAGCTGTCTGATATCTCACCTCTGCTAATCTTCCCAGGCATCTCCACAGGAGGACAAGTGTGATGAGTCACCATTCCAGCCATGGCGTCCACTTTAACCTTCCAAATGCCATTGTTGTGAGGAAGAGCCATCACAGATTGCCATAGCAACATAGCCTTTGTGACTCAGTGGATCAACCGCTCTCAGGCACTGTCCAACTGACACCTGGTATAGCCGATTATTCTTCTGAAACAAAGAGGTAGCAAGAAAAAAATTCCACCAGTTATTTGCTTTAACTTAAAAAACTTACTGCCAGAATATGGTAAAGAAGACACAGAAATCCAGAAGAGATTTGGCACATTTAAGATTACTTACTTAAGGGATACTACCAACTCAGAACTCCCTTCTACAAGGCAGAATGAGTCCATCTGCCACGTTCCCTCACTCAGCCTTGCTGGTGTCTTCACATCCTCCCATCATCACTATGTAAGTTCCTCACCCCAAAGGTCCACTGCTGGGATCCTCCGGACCCATGGCACTTCATGAGACGTGGTGGGTCTGATGAGCGAGTTTCTGACATATCCAGGCAAAGGAGATTATTTAAAACCAATTCATGCTCTTCATTATAAATCCAGATCTAAGGAAGAAAATAAAAGATCAAAACCCCAAATTTTGCTTTAGATTTTTGAAATTCAGACTGCACACCACTTCATGTATTTGTGGAAGAAGAATGGATTTATTCTGTATGGTCTCATAAAGTGGGAACAGACTCACGTACTAGAGTTACAGGGAGGCAGTATCAGCTTAGTTATCTGAAAGTGGAATGAAGGCAGGAAAAGGCAAGGTACAATTCCAGGAAGAAACCTAAGCAGTGGCTGAATTTTGTTAATTGAATTTAACGTAACTGACTGAATTTAATTGAGCACATGATTGCAGATCATTTCCAATTCTCGGATTTCACAATTATACAATGCTCTTAATCCCTAGACTGCATAAGAACTGGAGGAGCCCAATGAACCTGCCAGTTTGCCTTCTGTCGACAGAACACACGAGGCTCTCACGTTCATATTTCCCTCATGTTGGGCAGTGATGGCGTGCGGGGGCTGTCACATCACATTATCCTGTGGAATATTAGACTCTAACCCCAGATCATAACAACATTTGGACAGAGATTATGATTTCATCTTGACAGCCCAGAAGCAGGACTTTCGTTAGATGTGCAAATGATCTTACAGCATAGTCTTCTTTACGGTCTCTCAGATTATTTTCAGGAACAAAGAGCTGAAGTCGGCTGAAGTGGTCAAATGCAATGAAGAACTTATTCTCCAACATGTACCATCACCAAATCCAAAAGGAATACATTTTCTTCTATTCTGTGAATTATTTTACTCACTGCTACTTCTACCTACAGGCCCAAAATGTGTGTGTGCTGTCTCCATTAACATGACGAGACTCTCCACTGGTGCTATAATAGAACTTTCTGCGATGATGCTAATGTTTTATAATCTATGTTGTCCAACATGGGAGCCACAGTCCACATGTAGCTATCAAGCACTGGAAATGTGGCTAGCATGACTGAGGAAATTAACTGTTAATTTTATTTCATTTAATTAATTAAAATTTGAATAGCCACATGTGGCTAGTAGCTACGGTATTAGCCACTGGGACTCTGTTTAGTCACAACATAATACAGATACGAGAGTTTAACTCCATCTCCTCAAACTTCTTACATTTTCTGGAACGAACTTCAACAATCTCATGCCACTGTGATCTAAACCACCGAAACGTCACTACAATTTAACACTTCAGTGTCTACAACACTAACGCCTCTCATCCCCAGACATGGCACAAAAAAATCATGTTTTCCAGTAGGTATAACATCTTAGAAAGTGTGCATAAACTTTCCTAGAAATGTGTTCTATGAAATTTCAAAGGAGAGACTCTATCCCAAAAGCCCAAGTGTTCTTTTCATTCTTGGATGACAGCATCCCACCACTCAAGTGGAAATGAAAATTACTTACTTAGGACCTGTTTTGAGCACTGCAGTCTTGAGGCACTACAGCTAGGAGATTAGATTGCTGTTAGGTTATGCTGTTTTATCAGATATAAATCAGTTTGAATTACAGTTCCAAACCAAAGTAAGTTTCGCTTATTTTTAAGTCCATTTAATATCATTGAAAAGACACGTACAAACAGATTAAATTATGTGAATGAAATGAACTTAAATTTTGTTGTGGTTTCCTCTGATGAACTCCTAAAAGTCAGTTAGGAAAATACGATTTCAGAGAAAACTCTACCAAAGATATTCTGATTCATCTAATGCAGATTTACGTTCTTATCCACAAAGAAGGTACACTTTCTTTGCCATTTCTAACAAATTCATATAGCTTTCAATTCATTCTATATAATTCAAATTCATTCCATATAATTCAAATTCATTCTATATAATTGCTACTATGACAAACATAATAAGCAGAGGTAGGAATAATATACAAAGGAGACAAAAACAGTTGTATTAGATGATCTCTAAAATCATTCCCAACTTAAACCATATAATAAAGAAAAGTCACATTAAAATCTTGATGTTTACTCCTCCCTCCTCAGGAGCGACTGCTGGCAGCTCCCCTTCACTGAAGGACACGTTCCAAGGACTGGCTGTGCCCAGAGGCATCACTCACCTGATTTGGGTCACCATAGTCACACGCCTTAAGCACTACTAGGCCTCCCTTCTGACTTGGGCGGCTCTGGGCCACCAGACACTTGTTGGTCTGGAGGTGATAGAGCTGTAAAAGAAGAAATTGCTCTTGACAACCCAGCAAGCAAAGAGAGACCAATGTCAGAAGATGCCTTAGAATGCCAGAAAAGGTTTTGGATAAAATATGAAAATATTATTCCAGAGGTATGAATTCCAAGGTCACAAAAAGATAAGCATTTTTTTATTCTTAAACTCTAGCTTCAGTACACAGGAGCATCACAATAGGGATTTCAAGGTTATAGGCAATTTTAACAATATATGCAAGCAGTGTCAAGTAGAAATTCTACTTAATACTACCTACAAGTTTACTAATCTACTATAGGGGAAGAAGGAAATTAAAATATCACCTCTGCACTAAAGAACCTTAAAATGAAACTGAGGAAATAAGAACAAAAGGTATAAACCAGACAGTACATAATTAAATGTAATATACATCCTAAACTGGAGAGAAATACAGATGATAAATGCCATAGGAATTCCAAAGGTCAGATACATAAAAGAAGCAAAGGGTGTCTAGTCTGGGTAAAAGGATTAGTTTAAGTATTAAATGAGATTAGATGAGCAAGGCAAGAATACTAATGGTAAAGGATTTCAACTATGTGCACCTAGACTGGTGCCTATTTTCACTTAAAGAGAAAACAATAATAAATATATTAATGATTTTTTTATACCTTATAAAGTAGAGAGAACAAGAAGGGGAAAGCTCTAGGCTCCATTCTAACCACTGAAGAATCGTTGGCATTGGGAAAGAACTTTGAAAGGAGTGCCTTCTTTGTAACACAAAAGAAGGGAAAACTGGGCAACAATTATAACATCTACACTTTCGGAAAGCAAATTCTAAGAAACAATTCAGGAAAAAGTTATGACTTTATGACTAGACCCCTAAAATTTAAGTGTGATTACAAAACTGAAGAAATTCTATAAGAAACAAAAAGGAACATCTAAAGAATGTGGTTGATCAATGGCTTTTCTGCTAAGCTCAGATGATTGCTCGGAACATCGAGTGTGAAATCTCACTTCATGCCACCACTTAGACCCTAACCATCTTTCACTTCCTGTCTGGAGTCAGTTCCCAGAGCTGTAGCCAAACAGCACACAGCTGCCCCACTTCTCCTTCTGTTTTCTTTTTTGGACTGGTCTCTGCCCAGTGAATTTTACACTCACTTATATTGCCTTTATTTGTATATTCACATTTACATCTATCCTCTTGGAATCTAGCATATAACTTAGAGAAGTCATGCTCTCTTTAACACTGGCAGGTAAAGGATCTTAATATTAATAGTGAAGATAAAGATGTTAAAATTTCTAAGGCGTTACACCTGAGTAAATTCCCATAAAATGAATATAATGGAAAACAAGTTAAAGTCTATCATTAAATATTTTAAGTCTACAGTGTCACTTATTGTACCACACAACTCTTAATGACACACTTTAGTAAGATTACTTTCTTACCCTTCCACGTTGAAGGACTTTGGGACGTTTTGGCCCTCTATTGATAAAAATAGGCTGCTGGGGTTTGGCATTGGGCCCAGAAATCTGCATCTCTGGGTAAATATTATCCAAATACCATTTAAATGATTTACAACCCAACTTTTTCCTCAATTCAACACGCTCACTGATATTTCCATAGCTTTTGGTCCTCAGATCAGGTCTTAAGGAAAAATACTGCTCCTAAATTTAAAAAAGAAAAATGAAAAACAAGAGAATGGATTTTTTGTTTAAAATAAAGATTATCAATTATATCTGAGGTTTAAAGAACAACTGAAAAAATGGATCATGAGCAAAAATATTTTTTACACCAGTGTTTTCTTGATGTTGCCAGAAAATGTCAATGTAAAGTTTCACACAATTACCTAATACATCATTAACAATAAGACATCTTAAATTGTAAGATACACCCCAATTTCCGAAATGGCAAAACATGTGAAAATGTACATCTTAGAATCAAACAGGCTACATATGAGATTAGCAGTTCTCAAACTCTTTGGTGTCAGGACTCTATATTCTTAAAAATTATTGAAGACTCCAAGGAGGTTCTGTTTGTGTGAGCTGTATCTACTGACATTTACCATGTAGACGTTAAAACTGAACATTTGTTAATTCATTAAAAACAATAAACTTATTACCTATTAATATAAAGAACATGTTTTGAACAAAAACAAAAAATCTAGTGAGAATAGTGACACAGCTTTCACATTCGCAAATCTTTTCAATGCTGGCTGAAAGGAAGTCACCTTGAATGTCGTCTCTGCATTCAATCTGTTACTATGTGTTGTTTGGTTAAATACATTTTAAAAAATACAACTTCATGAGAATATGTAGTTTAAAATGGAAGGACTATTTTAATAGCTGTTTCAGAAAATTACGGCTCTTCTTTTTTGATACTGCACCAAACTCAGTAGCTTTTAAAGGTTAGTTCCAATGTGGAATATGAAATCATATCACTGAGCTTTCTGAATTGTTGTATTAAAATCTTCTGGTCTTGGGCCAGCTCCATGGCTTAGTGGTTAAGTGTGCACGCTCTGCTACTGGCGGCCTGGGTTCGGATCCTGGGCGCGCACCGACACACCGCTTCTCCAGCCATGCTGAGGCCGTGTCCCACATACAGCAACTAGAAGGATGTGCAACTGTGACATACAACTATCTACTAGGGCTTAGGGGAAGAAAAAGGGGAAAAAAAAAAAGAGGAGGAGGATTGGCAATAGACATTAGCTCAGAGCCGGTTTTCCTCAGCAAAAAAGAGGAGGATTGGCATGGATGTTAGCTCAGGGCTGATCTTCCTCACAAAAAAAAAAAAAAAAAAACAAACAAACAAAAAAAACTTCTGGTCTACCTTGCTCTTTGAATGGATCTTTTACCTATGCAAGATTTTTACAACATCATGCATTAGTCATTTGGAAAATACTGGTCCACTGGGCTGTGAAGTTCTTTCAAATACCGACAAATTTCACTATACAATATCCAAAAAATCATATTCATAAATAACACTACTGAGCTCATCAGAAAAGTTTTTATGTACTAGGAAGCTATCAAGCTTATGGTGGTGGATACAAGCTTTCCAAAATTCTAATTTTCACTTGAAAGTTTGAATTTGCAACAAGTACAATCAGTTGTTCTCCTTGAAGTGAGAGGCTCAGTTGGTTCATTTTTGAGAAAATGTCTGCCTAACACCCAAATACAAATAACCATGGTTTGTGAGACATTCTTTTACATGAAGAGTGTTCCACAGAGAAAAGTGATTACTTCAACTCTCAACTCAAACAACTGCACAGATGTTTTTCCTTCAAACACTCTCTGTACTTCAGGATACAGCAAAAGTGCTTTCTGTGTACACTTGATATGCACACTCACACAGAATACTAAGAGATGTTGAGATTTAATACAATCATTTTTACTACTTCATCAATGACATTCTTAGATGAAACTGGCTTTTTCTTTTTTTTCTGAATGGACTGGCAGTGAAGAATGCCATTTAGTGTCAATGCTGTGATTTATGCTAAGGCACCAGTCATTTTACTCTATTGCTTTTGCACCCTCGGTGCAATGTCAACACAGTGAAAACGGCAAATACAGTGCTGATCTGACTGTGAAAACAGCTTTGACCTGGCAGACCTCCTGAAAGGCTAGCCAGGACTTCCATGGGTTTGTGGACCACATTTTGAGATCTGCTGTTAGACAGTGATGATTCAAAGATGATAAGCATGGAGTTGAAGGAGCTAATCTCACAGGATTAGCTCCTCAAGGAGCTCACAGTCCAGTACAGGGAGAAGGGAGGACATAAACAATGTTGTAGAAGAAGTGTGATAGAGTCCCCACTTAACTCCCCAAGCACAGTTAGTGCTCATTATCCCAGAGCACACGGTACGTACCTCCACTTACATTTACCTTATAGTGTTAAAAATTACTGTGCGCTCCCTCATTCATCTTTGTATCCCCCTAAACCTAACACAGAGCCTGGTATATAATAGGTGCTCGATAAAGGCTTGTTTAAAAAAACTAATTGTACACAAATGTCCACAGCAGCATTTTTTGTAACTATTAAAAAGTGGAAACAACCCAAATGTCCATCAACTCATGAATGGATAAAATATGGTATAGTCACACAATGGAATGTTATTTGGCAATAAAAAAGAAAGAAGTACTGATACATGGTATAATATGGGTGAACCTGAAAACATCATGCTAAATTTAGAAAGAAGACGGTCACAAAAGACCACATATTATATGGTTCCATTTGTATGAAATGTCCAGAATAGGCAACTCTATAAAGTCAGGAGGTAGATTAGTGGTTGTCTTGGGCTGGGGAAGATTGGGGGAGTGACGGCTGAAGAATACACAGTTTCTTTTTAGGGTGACAGAATGTTCTAAAAATGATTTGTGAATTGTATCTCAAAGCTGTTACAAAGAAAACATCACTGAAAGTCGTGTATGACAGAAGAGAAGGCAGGAAGGAATATGACATGTGCAGAGTCTAACAGGGGAAGCAGTGGGCTTGGGTCACAGCGAAGCCCAGTGAGCAAAGGAGCCAGGTTCTGTGGGAGTCAGAGGAGAGGGACGTGAAGGAGTAAAAAAACTAGAGAGAAACAATTTCTTCTGATGTTGGCTGTATCAGCTCTTACAGAGTGGTCATTTGGAAAATTAAGAGAGTCAGAAAAGGGAGCTGGCACAGTGGCACGGTGGGTAAGTTCATGCATTCCGTTGTGGCAGCCCGGGGTTCGCTGGTTTGGATCCTCGGCATGTACCTACTCACCACTCATCAAGCCATGCTGAGGCGGCGACCCACGTAGAAGAACTAGAAGGACCTACAACTAGGACATATAACTGTGTACTGGTGCTTTGGGGAGAAACAAGAAAAAGAAGAACATTGGCAACAGATGTTAGCTCAGGGCCAATCTTCCTCAAAAAAAATAATGATAATAATAAAATGAAAGAGTCAGAACAAAAAATGAGTGAAATACTGGGTGAAGAGAGAGAAAAGAAACCTAGGAAGAGATGGCCCTAAAGTGAAGGTCACCCAAACAGAGATATGCAAGAGTGAAAAGCAACCAAAGCCCCATCCCCAAAGGACTGACCAGCCTATTGTTCACCCTTCTCAGTAAGAAATTGAATTTCACCTTGTATTCATCCAGCCAGACATATGCCAGCCTCAAGGAGTTGTGTGTCATGGTGTCTTGGCCTTCAGGAGAACCATATGGTCGCCTTTTTCGGAAAATATGTCCAACTCTAGAGCAAGGGATGATGAACAGTTTACCTCCACACATCCAAATCTGGCCAGAAGCAAAATATGTATTAATAGTTGCCTCACAGTACTGTGAAATCAATGTATGAATTTTCATGCAACTTATCTTCATTAAGCAGGTGTTCGTGAAACTTCACAAGATGTTTTATCCTATTAGATATAACTATTCAATAGAAGAGAGTCAAAGGGTACATTTAAAAAATTATCTTTATGATTAAAAAGAAACTAAATTCTAAAACAATGTAATATTCTTTTACTACCATGTGTCTAAAATCACTTACCATACATTGTTGTTTTAACAGATCAAGGAACTTGATCTTCAAGACTTAGGGACAAGGAACGCTTACTAACTGGTCCTCTAATTTCAGTTTTATGGGTACTTTCTTATAAAATGTATACATACTTTTTTTTTAAGAAAAAAGTTTTTTATAAAACATACAGAATAACTCTAGATGAAGATTCAAAAGATCTTTGTTCTGGTCTAAATTTTGCCCTTGACTATCTGAGTTACGTTATACAGTTATTCCAATTACCATGGGATTCACTTACCTTACCTACAAAATAAGACTGAACTAATGATATCTATTATTCCTTTCAATGTTAAAGTTATAAAGATTATGTAGGAAAAACTACCTTTTAAAAACACTGTGGTTAATATATTTGCAAAAATACAAAATAACATACGTAACAAGGTATTGTGGTATTATCTGAATGGGGATTCTGCTGTCTAGACCAGGAAATGGGAGGCAGGGAATGGGGACCTCTGCTAGGAAGGAGCAGTCTGAGTTCTTTCCCTCGCCCTCTTTCTGCCTTTCCCAAAGACTGTCTTACCACCACCACAGCTCCCTGAGCCACAGACCCCACCCATTCTGTCATCTTTCCAATCTTAGCAATTGGAAAAGAGGAGAGATTATGAAAGGCAAATTTCTTCCTCAGGTTGGAGGTGCCTGTATATATAAAGGATTCAGCAAGCTCTACATGGGGTGATGATATAATTTATCATATAACTGGGCTACTTCTGAAAGTGAAATGGGGAGCTATTAATAATTTCTCCAGGAGAACAGGTGTGAACCAGGATGCTCTTGGGCAATCAGGGAAATGTCATCACCCCAACTACATATATCCAGGGTTATCAAATAAGGTTAATAAACTGACAGAGAAAGAATAAAACTCTACGTTAAATGCACATTAAGAATTCTAAATTTATACCCAACCATTCATTATAACTATCCCTTTTAAATTCTTATAAAATGAAGATAAAGCTTCTTATATGCTTTTGACATTTTGAATGGATATTATCCATATCATAAATTATGGTAAAGTAGCATTAAGGACAATTTGTTAATAAATATAATCAAAGAGAATTTGCAAAAAATATGGGATCATGGATGAAAATTATATTCCACTACAGTTAATAATTAAGCATGCAAAAAAATAAAATTACCCGAAATGATATTTCTAAATTTTCTCCTCCCCAGATATCCATGCCACTGTCATACTGCCCAAGTTCACTGAAATAGTGTCTGTTCATAGCAAACAATCCTCCAGCCATTGTAGGTGACCTAGAAAAGGAAAATAATTACTGCACTGAATCTATAGAGTTAATTATCTTATCTACTGTTTTTGTTTTAAACAATTCAGTGATGCTCTGCAACATTACTAATAAAAACTAGATTAACTATTATGAAATATATTTTATCTAATATCAGGGGATGAAGTGGGCCACATAACTGAATTTTCTAGATGGGTAATGATATGCTAGATACCTGGCAAATGAAGGCTACTTTTTCTAAGTATCCAAAGTACTTATTTATTATAACCATTGTTGACAGAAATTTACCTGAAATGAATTATTTAATTCCTTTTGACAGTATCACAGAGCCACTGGGATAAAAAATGGACTCCAGGGCCTGCCAATGGGAGACCAGACAAACTTCACACTTTAAATTGGACTCAAATGTGTTAGACCAGTGGCTCTCAAATAGGATGATTTTGTCTTTAAGCAAACATTTCATTAATGTCTGAACATATTTTCAGCTGTCACAACTGGGTGGGGGGGGTGCTACTGGCTTCTTATGGGTCGAGGCCAGGTATACTGCTAAATATCCTAAAATGCACAAGAGAGCCCCCACAACAAAGAATTATCTGGCCCCAAATGTCAATACTGAGAAGGTTGAGGAACCCTGTGTTGGTGAGCGAGTCTGAAGTAGACTGGCCCTCAGAGACTCAAGCCCAGCTTCCAGTCATCTCACTTCCTGTAACTGGATTAGGTGATCATGAATTCCAGCGTCCCAAGCTGCCTGCCAAAAGTGAAGCAAAAGTCTCTCTGCAGGGAGAAAACATCACGCCAGGTAGGAATGTATTTCTATAATTTTTCATATACAATGTCTGGTGCTAAACAAAAATAAATAAGCAAACAAACAAATAAATAACCAGGCAATCAGGAAGATAAATCACATGAAAGAAAAACAAGAGAAACAATCTACAACAGAAACAGATGTACAGGGGTTTCAAATAATGAAGTGAGTAGGCAGAGACTTTAAAATAACTGTTCAATATGTTCAAGCATTAAAGATAAAATTGACAATTTGGCAGATAATTAGATACTATCAAAAAAGAAACCATGGGGCTGGTCCCATGGCCTAGTGGTTAAGCTCAGCGTGCTCCACTTCGGTGGCCCGGGTTCAGTTCCTGGGCGCGGACCTATACCACTCGTCAGCGGCCATGCTGTGGCAGCGACCCACATACAAAACAGAGGAAGAATGGCATGGGTGTTAGCTCAGGGCTAATCTTCCTCAAGCAAAAAGAGGAAGATTGGCAACAGACGTTAGCTCAGGGCGAATCTTCCTCAGCAAAAAAAAAAAAAAAGAAAAAGAAAGAAAGAAAAAGAAACCAAATTCATGCATATCTGAAAAACACTTCTGACAAATAAAAACAGAAAAAAATTTTAAGCAGCCAATGAAAGAGATTCCCTTGAAACGAAACAAAAATAAAACTTGCTGACTTCTCACCAGAGAAAGTGGAATCCAGAGCATTCTTGAATGATACCTTCAAAGTCCTGAAAAATGTATCTGCCACTCTAGAACTGGACATCGAGTAAAATTATCCTTCACAATAATGGTGAAATAAAAACATTTTCAGAAAAAGGCAAGAGAAATCACCAGAAAGTCCAACCAAAAGAAATACTAAATGTGTTTTTTAGTCAGAATGAAAATAACCCCAGATGGAAGTTTGTAGATGCAGAAAGAATAAAGAGTAATGTAAAAGGGGAAATAAGTGGGTAAACCTAAACGAATACTCGTTACATAAAAAATGTCTTGTATGGACTCCTAGAAGAAAATATAGGCAGTACACTCTTTGACATCCGTCTTAGAAGGATCTTTTCGAATACCACATCTACTCAGACAAGGGAAACAAAAGAAAAAATAAACAAATGGGACTTCATCAGACTAAAGAGCTTCTGCAAGGCAAAGGAAACCATGAACAAAATGAAAAGACAACCCACTGACTGGGACAAAATATTTGCAAATCATATATCCAACAAGGGGTTAATCTCCAAAATACATAAAGAACTCATACAACTCAACAACAAAAAAACAAACAACCCGATCAAAAAGTGGGCAGAGGATGTGAACAGACATTTTTCCAAAGAAGATATACGGATGGCCAACAGGCACATGAAAAGATGTTCAACATCACTAATCATCAGGGAACTGCAAATCAAAACTACAATGAGATATCACCTTACACCTCTTAGAATGGCTATAAGTAATAAGACAAGAAACAACAAATGTTGGAGAGGATGTGGAGAAAAGGGAACCCTCATACACTGCTGGTGGGAATGCAAACGGTGCAGCCACTAGTATGGAGATTTCTCAAAAAATTAAAAATCAAAATACCATACGACCCAGCTATTCCACTACTGGGTATTTATCCAAAGAACTTGAAATCAACAATTCAAAGAGACTTTTATGCACCCCTATGTTCACTGCAGCATTATTCACAATACCCAAGATATGGAAGCAACCCAAGTGCCCATTGAATGATGGATAAAGAAGATGCAGTGTATATATATATATATATACACAATGGAATACTACTCAGCCATAAAAAAAGACAAAATCATCCCATTTTCCACAACATGGATGGAACTTGAGGGTATTATGTTAAGTGAGATAAACCAAACAGAGAAGGACAAACACCATTATGATTTCACTCATATGTGGAAGATAAACAAATACAGGGACAAAGAGAACAGATTAGTGGTTACCAGAGGGGAAGGGGGTTGGGGGGTGGGCATAAGGGGTAAACATATACGGTGACTGACAAATAATGACGTACAACTGAAATTTCACAATGTTATAAACTATTATGACATCAATGAAAAATGTCTTGTAGGGTTAAAAAATACATGCACACACACACACATATATAGTTCAACAATACAACTTATGGGGGGATAACTGGAGTAGGAACATTCTGAGATCCTTGCATTTTGGAGAAAGTACCAATTTATATTACCCTTTGATAAGTCAAGGATGAATGCTGTGTTCTCTAGGGTAACCACTGAAAGAACGGTATGTAAGAATGTTTAACATCTAGTGATGGGGCGGCAATTGGGAACAGAATAATAATAAATTGGAACTCAAACCAAAAGAAGGCAAGAGAAGAGAAAAAAGAATATAAAACAGATAAAAGCAAATAGTACTACAGTAATCATAAACACAAAATATAAGTAATATTATTGAATGTAATCAACTAAATGCCCTAATTAAGACAATGTTTTTCACACTGGTTTAAAAACAAAACATAATAAAACAAAAGCCAACTCCATGCTACTTACAAGGGACATGTCTAAATATAAGACCCTAGAAAGATTGACGGCAAAAGGGAAGAGAAGTTACACAATGCAAATACTAATCAAAACAGAGCCGGAACAGCCATATTAATGTCAGACTATAAAGCAAGTCTCACAATTCTAAACGTATAGAATAAAAGAGAGACAATTCATAAAGATAAATGGTTTCATTCACCAGAAGATTTAATAATTCTAACCTTTCATGCATCTATTACCACAGCCTCAAAACAGATGAAGAAAACATATAAAGAACTACAAGGTGGGGCCAGCCCGGTGGTGCAAGCGGTTAAGTGCACGCGCTCCGCTGCAGCGGCCCGGGGTTCGCCAGTTTGGATCCCAGGCGTGCACCGACGCACCGTTTGTCAGGCCATGCTATGGTGGCGTCCCATATAAAGTGGAGGAAGATGGGCATGGATGTTAGCCCAGGGCCAGTCTTCCCCAGGAAAAAAAAAAAAAAAGAGGAGGATTGGCAGATGTTAGCACAGGGCTGATCTCCTCACCAAAAAAAAAAAAAAAAAAAGAACTATAAGGACAAACAGACAAATACACAATTGTAGTGGGAAACTAATATACCATTTTCAAAAACTGATAGAACATGTGAATTAAAAATTAATAAAATATGGAGTACTCAAATACTGCAATAAACTTGACCAAACAGATACAGAACCTCATCTTCGACAACAGCAGAAAATACAAATTTTCTAGGCACACAAAGAATATTTATAAAAATCCATCATATGCTAGCCCATAAAGCAAATCTCACCAATTCCCACAGAATTAAAATCACACAGAATGTTTTCTGACCACAGTGTACTTAACCTAGGAATAAACAACAACTATAAAATCTCCATGTCTGGAAAATAATAAATGCACTGCTAAATAACCTACGCATCAGAGAAGACATCATAATGAAAACATTTTGAAATAAATGATGATATAAAATATCATAATTTGTGGGATGCAGCTAAAGCTGTGGTTAGAAGAAAATTTATCATCTTAAATACAAGTATTAGAAAAGAAAAAAGGCTGAAAATTTTAAAAATCTAAACATTCAACTCAAGGAGTTAGCAGCCATACTGTAAAAGTGAAACAGCTCACAGAAGAGCAGAAAAAGTAGGAAAAAAGTGGAAGGAGAAAGGGGTGCTAATGTCCTCACTGTACAAGGAGGGGTGTCAAATGTTCTCAAAAGTCAGTAGAACAGGAAACAGACTTCAAGTATCAAAAGGAACCAATACAATAACTAAAACAAACCATACCACAACACCAGGCGATAGAGTACAAGGGAGTGATGTAAATGAGCTAACTCTTCATTTCTCCCATAGAGAGGGCCTAAAGTTGGTTTGAAACTGAAAAGAGCTCTACGCGTATCATCTAGAGTTAAGGAAGAAGTAAGAAATGGAGGACCAAAAATAAAAATGATTAAAAGAATCTGCCTCCGGGGAGGACTGAGAATAGGGAGGAAAGGGGTGGAATCAGCTACTTTTCAACCTCAGTTCTTCCATACTATTTGATTTGCTAAAAATTAAACAATGAGGGATGGGCCAGGTGGCATAGTGGTTGGGTTCACGTGCTGAGTGCTCTGCTTCAATGGCCTGGGGTTCGCAGACTGGAATCTTGGGCATGGACCAATGCACCATTCATTAAGCCACGCTGTGGCGGCATCCCGCATACAAAATGGAGGAGGATAGGCACAGACACTGGCTCAGAGCCAATCTTCCTCTTTTTGCTGAGGAAGATTGGCAACAGATGTTAGCTCTGGGCCAATCTTCCTCACCAAAGAAATAAAACAAAATAAACAAAGAAAAACAAGTACCCATGAAGATGATGAAATAGGCAAAAACTGGCAACTGCACTGAAGCTAAGAATGAGAATATATCTCACAGTCTGGGGTACGTTCTTCTCACACTAGCAAAGGAAAACAAAAAATACTTTACTGGACTACACATATCTCACCTTCTGAAAAAGAACAACATGGGCAGTCCTAAAGGAGATAGGAAAAAATGGAGTCACCTCTACTGTCTGCTTTCAATTGTAGGATGTGAGGTCATAGAGACCAGAAACACAGATGGACAGTCCCCAGAGGCAGCCCTGCTCTCCTGAGAGACGTGCCTCAGCACCTAACTCCCATCTGCAGAGCTGGGGAGGGGAGGGTGGGTACTGACCCACGCTGAATCCCCTGGTAGGTGACGTGAGAAGAAGAGCTGCAAGCATGTGAAGACAAGAAGACAACTGCGAGCTGGGTGTGCTTTTTTAATGGACTTCAAAAAGAACTGCAACAGATGCCCACACAAAGCCTGAGAGAGCAGACGACGACCCCGCCCTGCCAGTAGATCACATCAGGCACCTGGAACTGGCCAAGGTCTCTATTAGCCTCCCCTCCATGTCTGGTTCAGATGAAGGGAAGCTGGAAAGGACCCACAGGCCAGCTGAGGAGCCAATCGCATTCTAGTCACCTGAAGTGTTGGGAAAACATTATCTACTAAAGGGAAAGAGAGGCATACCCTGTGACCCAGCAGTTTCACTCCTGTAAACTAGAAGTCATGAACAAGAATGTTGGTTACAGCACTGTCTGTAATATAAAACAAAACAAAAAACTTAAAGCAATCTCCCCAAAAAACTTAAAGCAACCCAATTGCCCACCAACAGTAAACTGGATAAGTTATGATATATTAATATAGCAGAATATTATACAGCAATGAAAATGAATCAACTATAGCTATATACTGTAAAATAGATGAATTTTTAAAGCAATATTGAGTAAAAGAAGCAAAACAAAATAATGAGTCCCATGGCTTCATTTATATGAAGTCCAAAAGCAGGCAAAACTAAACTATATTGTCGAGAGACGCATACATAGGTGGTAAAACTCTACAGGAAAGCAAGTAAATGATTACTAGGTCAAGGTAATGACACCTCTAGGGACAAGGGCAGGGGCTGTGACCAGGAAGGGGTGTACAGGGGGCATCTGGGTGCTGTTTCTTGACCTGGGTGGTGGTTACACAGGTGTTCACATTATGACCATTTATTAAATTGTGTGCATATATACATGTATATGAGTACTTTTTATGTATGCTATTTTTCACAGTAAAAAAGTTAAAAAAAAAAAAAAAGAGTAGGTCCAAGAACTTTAAAAAGTAGAAATACAAACAAACCTCTCTGAAATCTACACGAGAAATTTAAAAGAAAAGAAAGGAGAAAACATATAAGAGCAGATGTATATTAGATGTTAGCTCGGGCTCATCTTCCTCACAATAAATAAATAAATAAATAAAATATTAAATTTATACCAGCAAACAACTGAGGATAAGTTAATAACCAATGCAATAAACCATGGTATTTGACATGAATAACAGCACATGGGGTACTCCCATGGTATCCCATGCAATGATTATCCCAGGATACTGCTGACTTTGTCTGCCTTTCTCACTAAGCTATAAATCTTTGAGGGTGTGGAGTTTCTCATTCATATATCCTTCCTTAGGACTCGGCAGGGTGCATAAAATTCGGTAAGCACTTGAGAATTTTTAATGGACAAACAAATTAAGCCAACGCTTTTGATTCTTGCAAAGAAGAAACTATCTTTAAAATATTTTTTTCTCTTCTGAAGAAGTACTGGTGGGAATTTTTCAAATACACAGGAGAAATCTTACTTGATTGGTGCAGTAGCTCCTTCTGGTCCTCCGAGTTCAGAAAGGGGAACAAGATCCCATTTGAAGTGTAGCCCCCAGTTGAATCCTCCCCGCACCACAGGGGACGAGCTGTAGGCAAGCGTGTCAGCACTGATGATGTCGATCACCGGGCACACTACCGTCTGCCGGTCCTCCTGGATGACAGCCAGCAAGGGCTGCAGCCACATCACGTTCACTTCACAGTGGCTGTCCAGGAACACCAGGACTTCTCCTGAGGAGGCAAACAACATAGGCCCCAAGAGTGTCAACAGCACTCAATTTAGGTACAGCTGCCAGTAATTGGATGATGCATTTACATGGCATGAAATATAAGTGCCACCCTTCTAGTCCAAATAATTAAACCATTACTTTATTGCCAATCAGAAACAGGGGAAGTCTTTTAGCCATGAATTCAGCCTGAAGTGTACTGCTATGATTGAGGAATTAATCTGCACAACTCTTGAAAAAATCTACAGACAATTCAGATTCTCTTCAGTGAAAAGATTCCAGGGGCCGGCCCCATGGTGTGGCAGTTAAGTGTGCGAGCTCCGCTGCTGAAGGCCCAGGTTTGGATCCTGGGCGCCCACTGATGCACTGCTTGCCAGGCCACGCTGTGGCAGCGTCCCATATAAAGTGGAGGAAGACGGGCACGGATGTTAGCCCAGGGCCAGTCTTCCTCAGCAAAAAAAAAA